CTCCTGAACTCCTCCCAGCATTTCTCACTGCCAGTTCTGAGTTCCTGCAGCCACAGGCTGCTCAGGTACCACCTTCATGGGATTGGAGCTCCATCAAATCTTTAGTCAGAGCACGAGAGAGCAAGACTGAAGTTGCTATTCAAAATATAATCTATTCCCTTGAAAATATTGGTGCCAAGATTGCAGGAAAAGTATACAGAATAGTATTTTCTGACATTCTATTTCCAGAAAAGCAGATAACTTTCAAAATACAGATTTCAAAGTATCCAAAGGCAGGAGGAGGAAGGCTGGAAGAAACACACGTGTAGAAAGCCCAGCAGGACAGAAGAGCCTGTCAGGAAGCTGAGGCCAGGCCTGCAGTGGCAGCACTGCAGGTAACACCTCTCTCCTGTGCCAGGTCACAACTGGTGCAGAAAAAGAAAACAGAAAACAAAAAGTTCTCAAATATCCTCAGAATTGGTTGATAGGTTATCAACAAATAACTCTGCTAAGGAAGCAGGGAGCTGTACAATCACCAACTGCAGCAAGTTCAGACTGAATTGTTGCCTTTAGCTGTCATCCCCACACCAACTCCTGCCCTCCTCTTTTCTCATGGCACTGGGAATCCCCAAATCCATTGGTTCCTGCAGAGCAGGGAGAGCAAGAGTGGCTCAACCAGTGGCTCACAGCTCCTGGAAGTAAAGAACAGCCAGCCGTGGTGAGTGAACACCTCCTGCCTCTCACACGCTTCACTGCCAAATCACACAGACAATCTCACAGACAAACCCATCTCACAGACAAACAGGAACTGGCTTTTATGCTTAAAGGGTGTTTATGTCTTGCATAATTTATTTGAGGTCCTATCCTGCTTCCATCAAGCTTAAGAATAAGCTCTTCCATGTGTTTCAAAAGGTAAGAGGGTCCAGCTCCTTATGAAGGAGCTTCCCTGGAGAGACGCCCTGCCAGAGGCTCAGCTGGGACCAACCTCCTTTTTTCTTCTCTCCCTCTGCTTCCCACTCCCCATTTAGTGTGGTTGGAAGTGCAGAGTCCAGCAGATCCTGCACAGGGCAGGAGACTCCCAGAGGAAAGGAACAGGACTCATCTCTTCAGAAAAGCAGGTGCCAACACAACTCCGCACTACCCTGTCCAAAAAGAGACCAAGAAGCCAAACAACAGGAGACCATTTTGAAGGGGTGAAAAAAATTCCAAATTAACCATGGCAGATGATCTTTAGGAGATGGGCAAGTGTGTCAGCTCTTTCAGGAGTACAAAAGCTTTGCTGATGGACTGACAATACAATTAACTGCATCCATACCCAAGCCCTCCTGACAGAAGGGAGCCTCTCCCCAAAACACAAATATTTAAGGGTGAGTACCAAGGGGATGGGACCAGGGGCAATGGGCAGAAACTGATGCACAGGAAGTTCCATCTGAATATGAGGAAAAACTTGTTTGTTGTGAGGGTGGCAGAGCACAGAATGGCTGCCCAGAGAGGCTGTGGAGTCTCTTGGAGATATTCAAACCTTGCCTGAACACAATCCTGTGCAACCTGCTCCAGTGAACCTGCAAGAGCAGGGGGTTGGACCAGGTGATCTCCAGAGGTCCCTTCCAACCCCAACGAGTCCAGGATCCTGAAAAACACAAGATGCAGCTCCAGGAGTGTGCAGGGGCTGGATCAGCATTCCCATGACAAAATGCACAGCTCCACACAACACTCTGACCCACAGAGCCACAGCAGGAGCCAAGAGAAAGCTGTCATTTGGAACAGGGTAAAGCTTGCACTCATGTCTTTAAAATATTTTACTGTATCAGCTTCTCTGCTGATGGATATTTGAATGTAGATATGCAGTTTGAATACACAGGACATGTGCCATATACAGTCTGACCACAGAATAGATCATGGCTGGGAATTAGCTAAATAAATTCCACCCAGAAATGAATTCACAACTTTAGATTTGTCAAATAATTTCCACCTCATCTCCAAAGTGTGGGTAAAATCCTACACTCAAGTAATTGATGAAGTTATCCACAGACTGTGGGATGTCATCCTGAACAATCTTTTACTTGAAGAACAATGATGAGCATGCAAGCACTGCACTTTAATTACAGAGACAAGAGAAAGATATGAAGAGGACATTTCAGGACATGCCAAATGCAAGTAAGTTAATTTTCATGTGTTTATGTTTATAGCAGGATAATCTGCTGCTCAGATATACCATAGAGCAGGTTCACTATAAACTCTGAATAAAAATGGCCACTGTTTTTTGCATTTAAGAAGTCTATCTGGATTTCTGCTTTCCATTTACTGGAACAAACCTGATGCTGCTTCCGGAATGAGAGCTTCCCCTGGGGTTAAAGCATTCTCACAGTGACGATTTCCTAAAGCCACTTGCACAGAACTTCAGTGACGTGAGGTCTATAAAGGTCACAGCTGGACTCCTGCAAGGGCTCTGACACAGTCCCCTCCTGCACCCTTCTGAATGGAGAGGGATGGGTTTGATGTTGGGCTGTTGGGTGGGTGAGGAATTGGTTGGATGGTCACATCCAGAGGGTAATGGCCAACAGCTCAATGTCCAGCCAGAGGCCAGGGGTCTGAACTGGGACCAGCACTGTTCAATTAATGGCACAGACAGTGGGACCCAGTGCAGCCTCAGCAAATCAGCAGGTGACACCAAGGCCAGAGGGGCTGCTGACACTCCTGAGGGATGAGATGCCATCCAGAGGGACTGCACAAGCTCAAGCAGGACCACAGGAATCTCATGAGGCTGAACAAGACCAAGTGCTGGTGCTGCACCTGGGTCAGGGCAGCCCTTGGTATCAATCCAGGCTGGGGATGAGGGATCAGAGCAGCCGTGCCAAGAAGGACCCGGTGCTCCTGCTGGAGAGGCTGCCCAGGAGCTGGCAATGTGTGCCTGCAGCCCAGAAAGCAAATCACCCCCAGCAGCGTGGGCAGCAGGGCCAGGGAGGGCACTGTGTCCCTCTGTCCCTCTGCTGAGAGCCACCAGCAGTGCTGCACCAGCTCTGGGACCCCCAGCACAGGAGAGATGGCTCAAAGGAGATGCTCACAGGGCTGGAGCACCTCTGCTGTGAACACAGGCAGGCTGGAGAAGGCTCTGACAGACCTTACTGCAGTCCAATACCTGAAGGGGGTCTATGGAAAAGATGGGGACAAATGTTTTAGCAGACCCTGCTGGGATGGGACAAGAGAGAAAAGTTTTGAAATGAGAGGGTAGATTCTGGTTATACATAGGGAAGACATTTTTTATAATGAGGGTGGTAAAACACTGGCACAGGTTGGATGCCCCATCTCTGGAAACATTCAAGGCCAGGTTGGATGGGGCTCTGAGCAACCTGGATGAATTGAAGATGTCCCTTCTCCTTGCAGGGGTTTGGACTAAATGGCCTTTAAAGGTCCCTTCCAACCCAAACCATTCTGTGATTCCATGACTCAGAGTTTCTTACCAATGCTGAAGCCAACTTTGAGATATCAAAATTAAACCAAGAGATTAAATACTGTCGGACAAGTTAACCTGATTTTGGGTCTATTATTATTTATGTGATCACACATGGATTCTGCCTGTGCTCTGTGGTCTGTGAAATACTGTCTGCAGCCTACAGAAGCCAGCAGTGCTAATTACTTGTTCACATGTGGTTTCCATCTATGTTTATTTTGTGGGTATTAACCTGAAATGAAGTCAACACAAAAGAAAAAGAGGAACAACAAAACTGAGTATTTTCAGAGGCAACACAAGCCTCAGTCTCGTGACAGCTGCTGTGCCTTTGCAGAATTTTAAGATACAGACACACATTTTTTCCCTTCTGCTGCTATTTCTGTTATGCACGTAAAAGGGAGAAATCAGCTTCCCAGAGAAACTAATGGCTTCAGTTGTGACTGATACAGAACAAATCAATATCCACCTCATCCAGGAACAAGACAACAGGCACAGGTTGCATACTGCAAACTCTTCAGTCCCAGACTCCCACCTCTGCTGCTTTAATTCCGAGGCAGCTGGCTCAGCACACTGGAATTTCACTCAGCAGACCCTTGAAAGCAAGTGGGACAAGCACAAGCTCCCCCTCTGTGCATTTCTCTCCCTCTCTGTGCATTTCTCTTCGTGCACACAAACCTGTCTTCAAGAAATCAAGCATGAGACAGACCCAACGACTTCACTCCAATGAATGTGTCAAATACCAGGGAGAGAGTGGATAAACACCTAAAAAGCAAGTTATACACTGTACCTGCAATGAAATAAGTCTCAGAATCATCCTTCAGTTCCCCATCCTCAATTTGGCACTGAATCAAGTCAGGCCCATGTGGGCTTTACAGTGAATTCAGTCTGAAACTCTTGGTCCACTCACTTACACAACAGGCAAAAAACCTGGGATAATAAATCTTGAGAGGGCACATGATCCAGGTGCATCATAGCCCTGGCACTCAGTGCCCACCTCATCTCAAAATAGCACAATGTAATCTGGAAAGCAACAGATAAGGATGTTGGGGACCACACAAATTTAACACAAATGACAGAAAAGGTGTAGAGAGCTGTGATTTTCAAATTGAAGCTGCACTTTTAAATAACCAGCAGTAACAAAACCAAGTGAATCATCTTACTTATCACCATCAGGCAAACCCAAACCAACAATGGATTCACAGTTGTGGCTAAAGGGTATTAACAGTTTGTGAAAAATCACGTGGAAACTCAATACTTGTGGTTGAAAAGGATTCAATTCCAGAGATGATTCAGGCGTCTTCAGCACAGCTGTAACCACACACTGGAGTATGTTCTGTACCTCAGAAACTGTTTCTAAACTCCAGGATAACCTTCTAAACCTCATGTTCAGGAGTTGTTCTGAAAGAATTGCCCATCTACTCTCAGGGAAAAAAAAAAATAAACCCAACCCCTCTTAAATCCTTTGCCAGCTAATCTATAAGAGAGCAATTCTTAAATTCTCTGGTGCTGCTTTCAGTTGTAGTGCACATGTGTAACTACAGCCTAAACACCAACACCATTTGCCTGCTCCTGGGAGGGCTGGAGGTGATGCAGAGCCAGGAGCACAGGTTGGAGTCTGCCAGCAAAGCAGAATAAACATGAAGTCTCACCCATTTTACAAGCACAGGGCTGGTTTTGTCACCACTCAGTGGGTATTTGGTGGAATAATAAAACAAAGCTCTCCTGGGGAGATGTCCAAGCACAAACCTCTCTGCAGAGAGAAACTTTTCTTAAAGGACCCAGCCAACCTCTGAAAGGTTTTGGTGAAGTCTCCTCACATCAGTCTGTTCCTTCATAACTCTGAAGGCAGTGTTCATTTTTGGGTTTCAGCATCCCCACTCAGCACGTGACACCAGTTTCTTTCAAACCAGTGTTTGGGATTTTAAGCACCACTGATGTAATTACATCCATCAATTTCTCCAACCCACCAAAGATCTCCCCACTCTTCCAGGTGCACTTAGGAGGAGAGAATGAAGCTGCTTGCAAAAATTCTTGGGTATTTTCATGCAGGAAATAATGCCAGTTGAACAGTTCTCATACTCATACAAATTAGCTGCTGTTTGGTTGAATACATTCATATCTGCTATGAAAAAGATGGCTCTATCAGCTGCTTCTTTATGAGCTTGTTCTAAACCAGTGATGTGACAGTGCAAAACTACTTATTTTCTGTTTCATCAAGAAGTAATTCCTTCAGGCATTAAGATGTGACATAAAATCTTTTACTAAATTGAGCAATTTCATTAAGTTTTCTGTGAAGAAAGCAGGATACAGCATGGAATACAAAAGCTGTTAAAATGTGCCAGGGGAATATCACTGGGAAGATAACAAACTTTGCAAGCCATAGGCCTGTATTACACATTTAAAACATTGTCTGAAACATTAAATAACCACAGAAACAGTTTTATATAATATGATTTAGCATCTGTTGCTCAAGAACTCAGGAGCAAACATTTACTCTTGTCTGATTAATATTAGGAACTTAAAAAAAAATAAAAGGCATTCTTCTGATGACTGAAATACATTCCCAGGGGGAATTTAAGCACCACAGTTTTTTTCCACAGAAAACCTCCAAATAAAACACGGCCAAGTATTGCCTGGAGAGATTAAACACCAGGAAGGCTCTACACAGCAGAGATTCTCACTTCAGGCAATTCACTTTTTCCTGCTTTTGAGGGAGGTGTTGTGAACTCTCACTCTCTTCTGCACGGAAGAAGAGATCTTCAGAGATGCTTTCTTTGCGAGGGACCTTTCCACAGCCCCGGGTTTCCATAGCAACAGCTGAGCATCCTCTCCCCCCGTCAGCAGAGACTCCTCCGTGGGGCTCCAGCAGCAGGAGCGCACGGTGGCCGCGTGTCCCCCACGCAGGGTCCCCACCAGGCTCAGGCCCTCAGTGCTGCAGCTGAGCAGGTGCACGTCTCCTGTGGCGGCTCCCCCGAGCAGGAAGAGTTTCCCTGCCTTCTCGTGGTAGAAGCCTCCCACCAGGTACTGCAGGCTGTGGTTTTCAGCGCTCACTGCCTCTCTGGCATCCAGGACGTGCAGCAGGGTTATGGGCTCCTCGGTGTCCAGCCGAGCCGTGTCCCACCAGCAGAACCCCTCATCGTGCGTCATGCAATAGACCTGCTTGTAATCCTCCCCAGCCCAGCCAAGAGAACTCACTGAGGAATCTGAATTGCAAGTGGATATCAAAGCATCATCTTCATTGTCCTTGTTGATGTCAAACACATTCACCAAGCCATCGGTCGAGCCAGACACAACCAAATTGGGTTCCACAGGATGAAAACAGATTTTGGTGATGTCATCGTTGTGACTTTCAGAATAGACTCCCAAGGGCTCTTTGGTGGCACTGGCACAGTCTGTAATGCCTCTTGCATCCCAAAACACCAGAAACGTGTCCTTTTCAACCTTCTCCGTTCCGGCACACACGATGAGGTCGCTGCAGCTGATGTCAAAGCTGATGAAGACGTTGGAGGGATAACCACTGAACACCTGCACTGGTTTCTGCATGGCTGAGCGAACGTCCCAGCACTTCACCGTGCCCTGGCTGCAGGCTGAGAACAGCAGGCTGGCAGAGGTGTGCGCAAACCTGACCCCGGCCAGGGCCCCGCCGCGGGCGCCGTACTCGCGCAGGAGGCGCAGCGTGTCCCCGTCGTACACCCTGAGGGACTCATTGGAGCAGGACACGGCCACCAGGGGGCTGGCCCCGGGCTGGGCAGCTCCGGAGGTGTGGATGTCCAGCAGGTAGGCGGGTTCCTCGCTGGGCACACAGCGCCGGGCGATGCGCAGCCCCGCCAGCTGCTGCTCCACCTGCTCCACTGCCGACATCCCCCCAGCAACCTGCAGCAAATAAAAGCCAAGGAGAGCTCTAATTACATTCTTCAACAGGGTTAGCTTTAAAAAATTCTAGAATTACATTCTTCAACATTCTTCAACAGGGTTAGCTTTAAAAACTCATATGAGGAAGCATCTTGTGCAGAGGTGATGCATGGAGATAAAATTCAATTATCCCCATGTCCTCCCCAGCACAACTTCATTCACAGGAGCACAGGACAGGAAAGGGCTCCCTGATTCAAGGAGTTCAGTCTCTCGTGTCTGTAAGCACTACACCAGATAATCCCCTTAACAGATTAAACAGTCTATCTGGGAAAATCACTCAGCTAAATTTGCTTTATTATTTTTATAAAGTAACATGATGCTCTCCACAAGTGGAAACAGAATGAAGTCACCCCCTGTACCTGAGGAGGAGAAAGTTCTGTTCTAGGAAGCACAGCCCACAAACAGCTGCGCCACCACAGCTCCAGGAGACTTCTTCAGTGAACTGCTGTGCTGAGGGACGTGCACAGGGCAGGCAGAGAGCAAGACCAAAATGACACAGCACTGCAGCCTGAAATGGCCTGGTGAGGTAATTTCACAAGTATTTAGGTGCCCAATGACGCACAGAAACACCTGGCAGGGTATCAGGGACCACCTGAACAGGCAATGTCACCTGTGGAACTCACTGCAATTAAGCACCTCAGGGTTCTCTGAGCCTCCTGTAAAACCACAGAACTTTTAGTGCAGCTGATAAAAATCTTCCCTTCAGAGGCAATTCCTCTCTGGCACTACTGAACCCTCCTAGAAACCCAAACTATTTCAGCAATGCACACAAATGCAAACTTCACCCAGCAAAACCAAAATTAAACAAAATTCTCTTGGATTCTCTCACAGATTCACTTCTGAAATATGCCCTAAAAAAAAGGAAAGACATACTTTTCCTTTCTATAACACAACAGAAAAGTCTATTCTGTAATTGCAATAAAGACTCCATCAATCCAGAGTCAAGAAAAGCACCGCAGCATTTACATTTTAAAGAGATATTTGCAATAATTTTAGTGATTCACAAACTACAACCATTTTTTAAAGCAAGATGTAGGTATGTTCTTACAGTCATCCACTTCTGACAAGACCACAGGTTCAATGAGACCACTATTCTGTGTTCAAAAAGAATCCAAACCCAAATATTGAGGGAATCACAGCAGGTTTTAAGGGGTCAACACTCCAGTGATTTCTCACTGGTACTGGTATCTCCTTAAGGTCTGGACCAGCAGCCAGTCCCAGGTACCATATGCAGGAAATGACCCTTTAAAGAAAAAAATCCAAAGAGAAATGGAATAAAAAAATCAGGCAGACACAGAATGTGAGAAAACATTCTCATGCCTACCCAGCTGTTCTATCATCAATTTTTCTGCAAATTCTCCAGCCTGGATTTTTAGGGGTGGAATGTGCAAGTTTCCATGTATTACTTGCTTTAGTTGCAATTATTTTAATTGCCCATGAGAGACCAAAAACAAAGGAGAAGTTGCTATGACAAAGCTGCATTCTGCTTTTTTTTCCCCCTTCTTGGCATTGTTTGTGGTTTCAGGGGTTTGCTTTCCCTCCTCTGGTTTGGTGTACACAAATATTCACGACACCATGTGACAAACCAGCAAATTCTTAAAAAACAGCTTAAGCAGGCACACATAAAAACTTAATTCCCAAGTCACAAATAATCTCACTAAGCGATTTGCCTCAGTAATATCCTGACAATGAGGTCCCCAGGTTAATCTTCTACATCAAAGCAACCTTTCAGAGCACATCTACCAGGCATTTCTGCCATAAAATGCAGACATCCTGTGGAAACTCCTTCCCCCTCTGAAGCAAAGAAGTTGAACGTGTTTTCTGGCATTACCCTGTGCACAACCTACCCACAGAACTTGTTCCTTCCTTACTTTTCTGGGTATGTCCTCAAATGAAACAAGCTTTTACTAGAACTATTACATAAAGCCAACTGCTCCCAAACGCTGTTTGCCACGCTGCTTAAACACAAAACTGTTAAACAGCCATGCAAATTAATAATATTAACTGAAGAAACAAAATATTTTTAACATTATTAATTAGGAAAACTGCTTAATTCAATTTACTGAAGAATTACAATGGAAGGTTCTATTTAAATAGAGTTTCAAACACACATGCTTGAGGGTGGGGAAAGGAGTTTTCGTAAACCAGCTCTCCTGCAGTGCTATGGTTACTAAAAAAATCTGGTTCTCTCTGTGAATTTCTTGTAAGAAAAATATAGTTTTCCAAGCTGACCTGAATTTTAAGCTCTAAATATTCAGACTTAGTCTACTCAAAAGGCCAAGTAAACTCAAACAGACATGTTCCCGACAAATGTCATCCATTTGGAAGGCAAGCTGCAGTTGTTTAAATATTACTGACTATGATAGAGAGTATCTTTCAATAAGCAGTTTCTACAAGGCTCATGTCAGAGCTTTTACTGCTGGGGAAGGTGAGGGAACTCTGCAAATACCCAGAAGTTGTAAAAAGCCAGAGTCTGAAAAAGGAGGTTCATTCAGTTTTAATAATATTTTCTGGGAAATAAAATTAGCTCAACACAACTCCTAAGCTTTTGCCCAGAATGACTTAACTACAGCTATTCTGAACTACCAGAAAATGATGTTCATGTTTTCAGACAGAAATGCAATTTCTACCATCAGGAAGGTGAAGGTTCAATTCTATTTCCACTGCAACAACTCAGACTTGTGTTCCATGGCAGCCAGGTTTTTGCTAAAAACTCAGTAAAATGTCTGCTTTAGCAAGAAAGTCTTCAGACTATTATGAAATTGTGATTGAAGGTTATATAAACAATTCCTGCTCAAACTTCAGGGTGTAGCTGCCAGCCCTTCCTTTTCAGAAGGGGAAGTCACTGTTGTATTTTGATGGGAAAGTTTAAATGGCAGGAATAGGATCTGTGTTAAATTTATGAGACAAATAGGAAACAATGGTCTTCCAAACACAATAGGAGATAACTAAGCACTGGACTGCAGCCACCTACAGAGCACATGCTCATCTGCACTAAAGCACTTTCAGTTCCTTAAGCTCAACAACAGAGGTATCTGTTTTCCAAAGAATCCTTTGGCAAAATCAGAGCCTGAAATGTTCTGGACACAGCACAACAGCCAGTTTGATCAGAGAGGAGAACTGCTCATGTCTGTGTGACAAACTCTCTGACACAAAGGGTTGTACCAACAGCTTGCTCTTGCACTACTCCAGTCTCAGAAAAATCACAGAGGGCACTGGCCAAAAGCTCTTCTTTCCCCATACATCCTCCTCTGCTCAGGATATGAGTTAATTAGTTAAATTCAGGTTTTCAGTTTCTCCAGCAAAGTCACCCACAGTCTGTATCTACAGTCTCAACACTGACAAAATGCAGGGATGCCAAGGTGCCAGGACACCCCCACCACCACTGGGATGACACTCCAGCACCTGGCTGAAGGTGGCTGGCTCTGGCCAGTCACTCGTGCTTGACATAGAGGTGCAATCCCATCCTTGGGATCACCATTCCTTACCTGGAATGAATCTTTCAGCTGCATCCACACCTGCACCCCCTGAGCCAGGAAAAGCCACCTTTTACAAATTAAACCTGAAACTTCTATATTATTATATCCAGACTTGGAACTACACTCAGGTGATCTGTTCCATGAATTAAGTACACAGTTACATGCAACCCCTGCACATCCCCTGGATACCACAACTACCAGAAACAATAAGCTTCTGGAAGGACACTCAAAACTCATTACATCTTGGGAACTCAGAATAAATACCATTCTCTGAAATAACCTAAAATATTTTGACCTCCAGGGCATCCTACAAGGCTCCTTTAAAAAAGAAATAAACTCAATGTTTAGAATAGAAGGCACGAAGTGGAAGTGATGCCAAAGAGGCAGGACAGGATTTTCAGATGCCTTTGTTATGTGTTTTTCACTGGTGGAGTGTGGAAACAACCACACAGCAAGACTAGAAGCAAACAGCTGTGCTGAAGGCAGCCCTTTCCAATGGAGGAGAAATAAAAAGCAAGCACCTATCTGCACAAACTAAACTTAACATTGTCCCAGCACTTACTGCTGTGCTGTTTGTGCAGCATTCTAAACTCTGCAGCTTCAGTTCAAGCCAACAGGCTCATCAGTCCTCTTCAATCCAGAACGTTTTCAAAAGATAAACCAGCAAATCATAAGTTATTTCCCTTTTCCTTTGAGTGGTGTACAGAAGATGCTGCCAAGTTCTCCTTTCCAAAAGGGAATGTTAGCTCAAAAATATATAGAAATACAAATTTTCCTTTGAAAAATACAGGGAAAAATGGCACATTCTCAAAGATTTAATCACTAACATATGAGTAACTTACGAGCAGGAGGGTAGAAACACGTAATAAAAATGAAAGAGACCTGTAGTTCTGGCAATCTTCTCTGCAGAGGTCAAACACCAAAAATAGCAAGGGATCTGAACAGCAGCAGATGAAATCTTGCACGGCTCTTTCCTACCACAAACAATACAAGCAGACCCTCCCTTAATTTTCCCAATTATTACAAGTTCCAGAGCAAGCTGAGAACAAGCCCAGAGCTCTGGGCAGCGGGAGGCAGCTCCTGCATGCACAGCACATGTGGTTTGCATTTGGGAACAGCAGAGCTGCCAGTGCAGGGAGAACAAACACATCAGAGCTGCACTGCCCCAGTGCAGGCAGAACAAACACATCAGAGCTGCACTGCTCCAGTGCAGGGAGAACAAACACATCAGGGATGCACTGCTCCAGTGCAGGGAGAACAAACACATCAGGGATGCACTGCTCCAGTGCAGGGAGAACAAACACATCAGGGATGCACTGCTCCAGTGCAGGGAGAACAAACACATCAGAGCTGCACTGCCCCAGTGCAGGCAGAACAAACACATCAGAGCTGCACTGCCCCAGTGCAGGCAGAACAAACACATCAGGGATGCACTGCTCCAGTGCAGGGAGAACAAACACATCAGGGATGCACTGCTCCAGT